GTTGAATTTTGATTAGCATACGAAGATAATTTGTTGCAAGTCTCAACTTTTTATCGATTGGCATAGCATGCATTTACACTTGAAGCTGCGAGGGGGTCATCATCACACATCTGGTTCCTAAATTTAATCATATCATGCTATTGACATTTGTTTTAATTTTTTGTAGTTTTTCTAATGAGGATGTACATTACAAAAAATTGTTAAATTTATAATCTAATCTTATCTTATAAATTTCTCCAACTTTTAAAAACATGTTTCATATCGGGTGATATGCAAATTGCAACCTTATATTGAGCGTTAACCAATAATGATTTGAGTCGGTGTACCGTATCCGTTTTGGGGTCCTCATAGTGAATGGCCAATATTACTAATTCTTTACCATGCATGAATTTGAGATCTAGAAGGATGGTATCAGCTTATCCTTTGTTGTTGACTTCACTTTTTTTTTTTTTAAATCTTGTTTATAGTTTTCACTATTTTGGCTTATTTTCTCATGTGTGATTGTTTTGAAAATTTTAGCAGTCTGTGCAACTTACCCATTACTAAATGAGGTCCAAGAAAAAAGATAGTTCTGGCTTTAGTATACAACATTTGTTGAGTCTCCTTGTTCATAATTTGAATTTTACAAATATGAAGGCATCTTGGTGATTAGTCCTTGTCGTTTACTTGTCTGCCAGCACAGATGAATACCAATCTCTGTGATAAATTTTCGGTGGGTCACTTTCCTATGCTCTTTTGGGGTCCTCCTTCCAACTTTGTGTCTGGTAGTTGGAATCCTAAGGAAGAGAAAAGTGAAATTCGTAACATCGATGACGGACGGACTGCTGAGAAGTTACTAAATTGGATGAACAAGCAAATGGGCAGGTAGGAGGTACTTTCAATCATTTCTTAATTTACTCGATCAAGTTTTGCATAGTTGAAACGAGCAATAAGCAGTTAACTGACTTCCAGCTCATATGGCTTGGATGACCAAACATTTGAAAATGAGCATCTGTCATCCAATATCTCAGATCCAGGACAGGTTGGTTCAGCCATCATGATAGAACTTTGATTTGCTTATATGACAAATGAAACAATTTTTCTTCACTCCTGATGTTGACAATTGAAATGATTTGATGATGATAGATTGCTCGAGCAGTCTATGATGTTGAGGAAGCAACATCCACTGCCTTTGATATTATCTTGGAACACAAGGTAATTAGTTTTTTGTACCACATGCTTACATATACGTATATAAACGTGTATGTGTTATTTCCAGCAATTATAGACCGATAACTTACACATGCATGCTTTCAGATGATCAACTCTGAAACTCGAGCACCCTTTATAAAATTTCTTCAACTTATGGTGGTTCATCATCCTTCTGTGAGGTGCATATTTGTCTCATCCTTGTCTTCACCTAAGTGATATTTTCCTGTTTCATTATCGGGATGTTTCTTCTCTTTCTCTTAGGTGTCGAAGAGGTAGTGCTGAGATACTTGTAAACTTCGACGAGTTGAGCCTTGCAGATATGAAACAAGAAGAGGTTGCTAGTGAAAAAGGTGCAGTTAAAAACTTTCAAATATGTGGAAAAGATGTTCCTCGTGGATATTGGGTGGGTACACAAACCATAAAATTTAACCAGACTATTTTTGGAATTATGAGTTGCATTCTTTGATGTATCTTGTCGACCACTATCTGGTATTCCCTGGGTATTGATATGAACTGTATTTTCATTTTCTATCGAATACAAGAAACATGGTCAACTATCTTTTTTGTTTGATGGTAGTGAAGTCTTAGAATCTTTACCTTGGCAGAGGGTTAGATGACCTCCTAAGATATATGTTGGGCATGATTAAGATATATGGATTTTGTCATCCACCGTGAAATCTTTGTGGCATGATTAAGATACTTTATTTCGTATGATCAAGGTAGGCACTTATTCAACAATCGACCTACAGAACAGTTTGAAGAGAAACCTCCAATTTTAAGATTGTTTCTTTCATATCAACGAATTGTTTGTGTTTCAAAACGTCCATTTGTTTGAGACGCTTGAAACTCTCACTGTACATAATACTTCTCTTTCTACTGACTACCTGATCATTCTCTCCCTCCTTCCCTTGTATTATACACACATACACACAAAGAGTCCTATAATTCTCATTATCTTTGAATGTCATGTTTGCAGATTTTCTGCCGCGGTAGCAAGAACGATACGAGGGGATTTAGGTAACTTTTTCTCGTACTTTTATTTGATGTGCCAGATAGTACCCAATTGTTCTTCCCAAATGTGTGGAAAAGCTTAGCTATCTCTAGAAATTAATTTACACTCGGTTCCTATATATAAATCTGGAGAAAATTGGCAACATTCTCTATACAAAAGTGACAATGTCTTCTGGTCCAATGCCTTCGAATTCTTAGCCATTTACATTCCATTAAGGAGAATGCAGTTGGAATTTCATGCAGAGTTTCATATGATTGTTCTTATTCGCTCCAGTGTGCTTCCTGAAAAGAAAAGAAAAATGGAAAAATAAGAGGAAAAACAAATTAATGATCCAAATCAGAGTATAGTTGCTAAACCTATTGATGTTGTAGTTAACGTTTAGATGGTTGTCTTTCTACAATCCTGTGATTAATTGCCTCTTTCTGCAGTTGTGGATTATGGGTTCTACTGCATTCTCTTTCTGTGAGAATTGAGGACGGAGAAAGCCAGTTTGCGTTCACAGCTATATGCGATTTCATCCGTAACTTCTTCGTTTGCGAGGAATGTCGTCAGCACTTTCACGAAATGTGTTCGAGGTAAGATTGGAGTAAATATTTGGTATCATTTTCTTAATATATCCTTACCATCTAACTCAAGGTACTATCTTCAGTGTGTCTAGTCCTTTCAACAAAGCTCGTGACTTTGCCCTCTGGTTGTGGAGGGCACACAACAAAGTCAATGAAAGGTTATTAAAAGAAGAAGAATCCATGGGAACCGCAGACCCGAAATTTCCCAAGATGATCTGGCCTCCGCCGCAACTTTGCTCATCTTGCTATCGTTCTCACAGCAGCAAGCAGATAAAATGGGACGAGAATGTAGTACATAAATTCTTGACCAACTACTATGGTAAAATGCTTGTATCTCTATACAAAAGCAACAGTTCTCTTGGGAATGTTGGTGTCGATGGGGCACTCGACGAGTTAGCGACATCAACAAACGCAGTTGCAGTCCCGGTGGGGGCTGCTTTGGCAATCGCTCTTGCAAGCTGTGCCTTCGGAGTACTTGCTTGTTACTGGCGTTCGCAGCAGAAGAGTCGGAAGTATTACCACCAACGACATTCTTTAAAGAAATATGATTATTAGGAGAGGGTAATTGGCTCTTTCGAAAAGACTTAAAAAGCATATAATAAGGGAAAGAAACCAAAAAATGAAAGGTATCAAAAGAGAGAGAGCCTCCAACAATGTTCTTGTCATCCCATAATTTATCTTCCATTTGTGACATTTTCAGGCCAAGGAGAAGCTCGGAGCTGAAGTTTTGTGAAGGATATGACTCAACAGAAGTTAAATAATGAAGAAGCTCTGAAGATTTGGAGCATTCAACCGTCTAAGATGAGGTTTGTTGGGTGTATTCAATTTGATTCGATTCGATTCAATTCCGTGCATCACACAGTGACCATACAAATACGTATCATGAACTAATTTTCGAGTTCAAATCATTCGAAATTTGCCTTTTTTGTTCCTTTTTTTTTTGCTTTCAAAGTGGCATATAGCTTAAACTTGGTTGCTCCAAAGAGATAGGAGAAATATAGAGAAGCATATGTAACTTAGCATATCTGAGGCTTTAAATAATTTGTTTGATTGGCTTTTGGCTTTTGGACACACAGCTTCTTCAATATGGTATTTAGATTCATTGTAGCCTTTGATAATTAAGTTTGTTTAAACCTTTTGAAATCATAGTCAAAATCCTAGCAGTACCTTGATCTCCCGATCAAATGAAACCTGAAATGAAAACGTGGTTCGATTCTATGTGGGTTATGGGCTTGCCACGTTTCTTGTGTACCACTCTAATTTGTGGGTTTCGTGGGTTATGGGCTTGCCACGTTTCTTCTGTACCACTCTAATTTGTGGGTTTCATGGGTTATGGGCTTGCCACGTTTCTTGTGTACCACTCTAATTTGTGGGTTTTGTGGCTTATGGGCTTGCCACGTTTCTTCTGTACCACTCTAATTTGTGGGTTTTGTGGGTTTGTGGGTTATGGGTTTGCCACGTTTCTTCTGTACCACTCTAATTTGTGGGTTTTGTGGGTTATGGGCTTGCCACGTTTCTTCTTTACCCCTCTAATTTGTGGGTTTTGTGGGTTATGGGTTTGCCACATTTCTTCTATACCACTCTAATTTGTTGATACGATAAATAATACTTGTTTTGTTATTATAGTGTTACGAGCTTACCATGTCTTCGTTGCACCTCTCTAATGATTGATACAATAAATATACGTGTTTTATTATTATTAAGTTATGGGCTCACCACGTTTCCGCCGTACCATTCTAATTTGTTGATATAATAAATATACGTGTTTTGTTATAACCTTTGTTATTATTGGGTTATGGGTTCACCATGTTTCATTGCACTACTTTAATTTGTTGATACAATAAATATACGTATTTTGTTATTAAATATATATTGAGTCGACGTCTCGTAGAGGATGGCAAAGCAATGACATTTTCGAACAAGGTCGGAAAAAAAATATGTTCTCACATACCGACATATTTTGTTTACGTTTCTCGACTTTAATGTAACTATTAACTTAATTATGAAATTATCGTTAATTATCTTATGGTATTATTATTTAATCAAAGACGGGTTTTGATCCTATGACCTTAGGGTTATGGCTCCACATCCTATTCTACTTTGGTGGTGTAATTCTCAAGTCTTTTAACTACCAATTTCAGCGAATCCATACTCGCCACGTGTCAAACTTTTCGCGCCAAAAATAAGAGCGTCCAAATCCGTAAAATTCTCCACTTCGTCTCTGCAAACAAATGCCGAAGCTTAAACACAGCCTCTTCAATGGCTTCCACACTCTTCATCTCTCATCCTTCTCTCACTCTTCTCTCTATCTTGTCCGACAATGGCTTCGTCTCCATGGCCGTGATGCTCCAGCTCATAGCCCAATCCTTGCTCTCTCAATCCAATTCAATCACAATCTTCTCACCTTCAGATACTGCTTTCGCCCAATCCGGTCAGCCTTCTCTCTCTCTCTCTTCTTCGATTCCATTTCTTGCCTCTCTACTTATCTCCCGAATGCCTCAAATCGCTCGCGTTGGGGCACCAAGATTTCCACGATGTTGGCCGATCGATCGCTCACGGTAACCTCTTCCCGATATTTTCATGAAATTTCTTTGAATCGAGTCATGATCAGTAGCTCGCCGATTTACGATGACGTTCGCTCCTTGTTTTTGGCACCGATAAGTTTTTTGACCTGAAATTCCAAGTGTTTCCGGTGTGGTCCAATGACGGAGAAGAATTCATTTGGTGAAGCAATAGAAACCCTAAGATCTAATGGATATTCTTCAATGGCGTTGTTTCTTGAATCTCAGATTTTAAGATTTAGTAATGGTCAGTCCACGATGACAGTCTTTGCTCCTTCAGATGATACATTGGCCGCTCGCATTGATGACTTTACCGATTATCCTTCTCTGTATTGTAGAATCTTATGGAATGATCTTATGGATCTTGAGAAAGGCACGAAGTTATCTACATATTCAAAAGGATTTGCAATTTCCGTTGCGAAATCAAACGGCATATTGATGATCAATGGAGTTGCAGTCATCTATCCTAACATGTATGTGAACGATTGGCTGCTTGTTCATGGCCTCCTGGATGTTTTTTCTATGGCAGAGAGACTCTCAGCAAAGGAATCAGGCTCAGAAATGAGAAACATCACTCATGGGTTGGCACTGGATCATTGGTAAGTTCTGAAGCCATGAAAATCTTTTGCTCCCATTTCACAGCATATACACACTCACCATTTGTAAATTTCTAGAGCTTTTCCTGCCTTCTAATGCATCTGTGATAAAGAAATCTTCAGCAGAAAGCTGTAATATAGAAGTTATCAATTTTCCTACAAGTTTCAGCTCGTTTCTGTAGTTGTTCCAAGGATTGGCATCACTGCAAATTTCGAGTGTGCCAATGAAACAATCATTGGGATCTATGATGATGAGTTAAAGAAAGAGCTTTTGTATGTGAAATTATAGGTTTATTGCCTTGTGAATGATGTGTTTTTGGGTATTAAATTTTAATTTTATGTTTAGGAATCTTGAGAGGGATGAACCAAAGTCATCTATTAAAATAAGGAGTTCGGTATATTTGATGAGAACAATAGTCTAAGGAATCTTGAGAGGGATACCCACGAATGAAATTGAGAGAGAGGTGGGGAATGATCAAATATGGTTGACGAATTTCTTTTGCGAGACTTTAGTCGGGTTGCATAGGAAAGTCAACAGTCAAATAACTACAAGATTATCATTGGTCTACTCTACCACAAGGAGGTTCGAGCGCGTGTAGAGGTGATCCAGCCGCACCTTCCAGTACGGCTACCTAGTTACGACTTCACTCCAGTCACTAGCTAGCACCTTCTAGTACGGCTACCTAGTTACGACTTCACTAGTCTTGTCTTCAACATCCCCTTCCTTATGGTTAAGGTAACGGCTTTGAGTTGGTAATGACATAACCAAAAGAGGGGTAAGGGAAAAAAAGGTTACGCGCTGGTTAATGCAACGGGTCAATGACAGAGCCTACCAGTAGGACATATCGAGATATACCTATCTAATTTCGCAAAGTGCTTTCGGTACACAATTTTAAAATATTGGATCATAATTCATTATATTTCCACCCAAAATGGCGCTTCGCCCCACCTTGGTTTCATCCCTTGAAAGGGGTATATATACTACATGTGCATATAGCTACTCACTCTACCATTCCAGGAGGAAACTTAAGCTTCCAACCTGCTATCTATTTTTTCCTTTCTCTACCTCTCTAAGCTCCTCTTCTGATGCTTGATGTTGCTGGATTCGTCGTTTCCACCAGAATTACTCAAATTTTGGCTCGTATTTCTCCATCGGTTTATCGACAACGATATCTTTGCAGACACATCACTCCTCCTTTGGAGGTGGTTTGCATATAGTATCCATAGCAAGAGACAGAGCAATACTCCAACAGAGATCATTGCAAGTCCAACATTCACAATCTTGAGATGATGGTGCAGATGAGGACAGTAACCTGTGGTGATGTTGTGAAACGTTTCCCTAACGAAATTGCAGTTCTGGAGGCTAAGCAAAGGGGGAGTGTAATGCTGAAGTGCATAACTCTCATTCACTGCAGCCACCATCTGGGAATAGATGTCCGGTGTGACTCTCCCAACCGTGGTGCACAGTTTCGATTCCGATACTTGGCACACAAATTTCTGCCAAACCTGCATTTATAACCGAAGTATCGATCATTATCGAAACAAAGACAGATGAACACAAAGAAAGATTATTAACTGAGAAAGGCACCATAAACACTGATATGTTTTGGTTGTTCTCCCCGTTTGTAACAGTCCAACACACCGCTAGCATATATTGTCTTCTTTGGGCTTTTCCTTCTGGGATTCTTCTCTAGGGAGAGGTTTCCACACTCTTATAAGGAAATGCTTTGTTCCCCTCTCCAACCGAGGTGGGGTCTCACAATCCACCTCCTTGGAGGCCCAGTGTCCTCATTGGCATATCGTCCGATGACTGGCTTTGATACCATTATGACCGTTTAAGCCCACCACTAGTAGATATTGTCTTCTTTGAACTTTCTCTTCTGGGCTTCCTCAAGGTTTTAAAACATGTATGTTAGGGAGAGATTTCCACACTCTTATAAAGAATGCTTCGTTCCCCTCTCCAACCGATGTGGGATCTCACACAATTAGACTAAGATCTAGATCTAGTCATGATGTTGATTCAATACACGTACAGACACCTATAAACATTGCCCTATTATTTGGTGCATAAACATTCCCAAGTTAAAATGCAGCCAGAATGCGTTGTATGAATCTTACTGTTGATGCATTGTCGATAGTCACGTCGTTATCGCCACATCTACTTTCTTCCAGCTGAGAGTTATATGGGTAACAGAGAGCTGGCATTGGAGGTCCAGACTGGTTGCAGTAGTTGGGAAGTCCTGGGGGAGGATTTGCATTGGCGAAGTTGTACACAAATTGATCGACAACGCTCACAATGTCGTTTACAATCTTTTTACTTTGGATTAGCGTCCGGTTTGTTGTTTTATGATCAACACAAGGAAGGATATTGCTAAGAGCTGTTTCTGCATGAGGATTATCCACCCATTCTTCCATTGCCATACAAGTATCAGAAACTGCACTGAAAAAGAGAGAAACAGAGCAAAAAATAGACAAACTCAGTTTATCCTTTTAATTTTGAAGAAGTTAGAAGTGATGACGGTAAATGTGAGATCACACATCGGTTCGGGAGGAGAATGAAACATTCTTTATAAGGGTATGGAAATCTATCCTTAGCAGACGCGTTTTAAAAACCTTGGGGGAAACCCAAAAGGGAAAACCCAAATACGACAATATCTGCTAGTGAAACCAAAAGGGAAAACCCAAAGAGGACAATATCTGCTAGCGGTGGGTTTGGACCGTTACAAATGGTATCGAGCCAGACACTAGGTAATGTGCCAGCGAGGAGGCTGAGCACTGAAGGGGAGTGGACACGAGGCAATGTGCCAGCAAGTACGCTAGGCCCTGAATGGGAGTGGATTGGGGAAGTCCCACATCGATTGAAGAAGGGAACAAGTGCCTATGAGGACGTTGGGCCCCAAAGGAAGTGGATTGTGAGATCCCACATCAATTGGAGAGGAGTACCTTAGCAAGTGCATTTTAAAAAACCTGGAAGGGAAGCTCAAAATAGAGAGCTCGAAAAGGACAACATCTACTAGTAGTGGGCTTGGGCCGTTACAGCAATTTCATTAAACCAATATGAGGGTTATTAGCTAACAAGACTATGCAACGATATAGCCAAATTGTAAACCAACTTACCTGTCAAGGATTACAAACAATCCATAAAGAACAAATGTAATTGTCACAAGTAGCCAACCACTGAGTATTAATCTGCAAAATATGACAACATACTTTTATTCTACCAATATATACATGAATCTGAAAAGTAAACTAAATCAGTCACACGACGAACAACTTACATATACATTGCATGTTGATATCCAAAGAACGACAGGACTGCAACAACAATTCCAGCAAGTTAAAAATACGCACACGTCAAGCAAACGAGAAAACAAAACAATAAGAATTACGTACAAAGACCGACGAGAGCCAGAAGAAGCATGAGCGCAGCAACGGTAATTAATGCTGAACGCCTATACGAACAATATTTATGTTAGCTTTTAGGTGTGGTAAAAGAACATGAACTTGATTGAAAGGAGCAAGATGAAGATACATACATAGCAATGAAAACTCTTGTTATTTTATGAGAATTTATACTCGTCTTCTCTGCCACTGTATCTGCAGCGGTATTTAAATCCACGTTTAACTCGTCAATGTCGTTGATTACATCAATCGGAAGAAACACCTCGGCCACGCTAATGGTCTTTGCGAGTGAGAGATATTCTGTAACGTTTTTAAGCGTATCCACAGTATAGTCTGACTGGTTTACAACATACTTCAAAGTATGCAAACCTTCATTGTAAAAATCATTCTGTCCAATACATAGAAGTATACAACCAATGCTGCGAAGAAGGTTAAGCTTTGTGTCAGAAAGGAGTTGAGACAATTCAAACATAATTGAGATTAAAATAACATGATTATATAACAGCCCAAGTCCACCGCTAGTAGATATTGTCCTCACGGTTTTAAAACGTGTCTGCTAGAGAGAGGTTTCAACACCCTTATAAGGAATGCTTCGTTCCGCTCTCCAACCGATGTGAGATCTCACAGATTAACAACATAAATAAGATGCATTTCCAATGAAGCCGGAAATACGATGGCTTCATGCACCAAATGATGTAAAAAGGCAACAAATAAAATAGATTTCAAAGAAGATTTTAAATGAAAGAAAGTTCGGTTTCAATATCTAAGTGTATCATCGAGATAAGAGTGTAGAGTATTACGTGGCAGCACATGTTAAAACTACAAGTAACGCGAGGCAAATCCGCTGTGAAGTCTTCGATTCTTCACCTTTAATGTTTAACTTCCATCCACAGCAAAGATGAATAAAAAGAGCAATGCCAAAGGAAATGAACCAGAGGATGGAAAGAATGAAACCAGTGGCACCAGTAAATGCAACAGACTGCAGAAACATATTAACACAAAAGAAATGAGTACAGGTTGAGAACTTATTAAAAGCAATGCCAAGGAAGTGCCAATACAAGCAAAGATCATATACTAAAATGTAAGAACACTGCAAACAACATGACAACAAAAACATACTACAGCTATTTAATTCTACGGTGTGATACGACGGGTATGAAGCCAAAAATTAATGACCACCCCAATGAAACACCATGCTAGCATACATGCGGTAACAGTACAAGTCCATCACTAGCAGATATTGCCCGCTTTGGCCCGTTACATATCGCCGTCAGCCTCACAGTTTTAAAATGCATCTGTTAGGGAAAGGTTTCCACACCTTTATAAAGCATGTTTCGTTCCCCTCTCCAACCGATGTGGGATCTCACAATCCACCCTCTTGGGGGCCCAACGTCTTCGCTGGTACACCGCCCGATGTTTAGCTCTGATACCATTTGTAACAGCCCAAACCCACCACTAGTAGATATTGTCCACCTTGCCCCGTTACGTATCACCGTCAGCCTCCCAGTTTTAAAACACGTCTACTAGGGAGAGGTTTCCACACACTTCTAAAGAATGTTTCGTTCCCCTCTCCAACCGATGTGGGATCTTAGAATCCACCTCCCTTGGGGGCCTAGCATCCTCGCTGGCACACCACCCGGTGTCTGGCTCTAAAACCATTTGTAACCGCCCAAGCCCACCGCTGACAAATATTGTCCGCTTTGGCTCAATACGTATCGCCGTCAGCCTCACAGTTTTAAAACGCGTCTCTTAGGGAGAGGTTTCCATACCCTTATAAAAAATGTTTTATTATTCTCTCCAACCAATATGGGATCTCACAATCTACCCCCCTTGGCAGCCAGCGTCACAATCTGCGATGCTATTGTGCCTCGAGGAAGTCATCGAGGACAATGACTAATACAACCTACTCTCTACATAGTATGGTTGTGACACCCAACGTCCTCGTTTGCACACCTCCTAATGTTTGGCTCTGATACTATTAATAACAGCTCAAGTCTACCGCTAGCAGATATTGTCTACTTTTGCCCATTACGTATCACCATCCGCCTCACGATTTTAAAACGTGTCTGTTAGGGAGAGGTTTCCACATCCTTATAAAGAATGTTTCGTTCCACTCTCCAACTGATCTAGGATCTCACACATACACAAACATATAACAAGAAATTGTATAGAATAGTATGATTTCAAGGCAAATATATCAAACACAGTTAGTAAAATAAATGATGAGAACAACTCTTACAGCCCAGTAATCCCGATTGGCAATGTCCCAGCCACCTTCATACACCCTAAACCCATGAAGAATATCCGGACGCTTCGTTCTATTTGCTGCCAATAGAAGAGGGCCTTGAGAGTCGTTATTTGCAGATCCTGGAGCTTCAGCAGTCTCCAATATCTCATTCTTCCAAGGACCCAAGTTTTCTTGTCCTGCAAATAAAAAGCGTCATCAATAAACAAAAGGCAACATAAAGAACATAAAACCAAGAATTAGGGAATAAATATTCTCCACAATGTGGCAGCTCAGAATACAAAAACGAAGAACAAGATTGCAGGAATCTCAAAGTTTACACACATCAATTCATAGGATCAAGAAATAAAGCAACAAAATCCGCCTCAAACACCTTTAACCTCCTTTTAAGTAAGAGGAGAGCATCCATTTCGTCGGACAATAACAAACCGAAAACACAAATAACATAAACAAATCTTCCCACAGCTACTTCCAGCAAAAATCTCGATCAAATTCACAAGAAAACCACACTCGAATCAGAAAAGAGGACCAAATCCAGCAAGAATTCACGAGCAAGACAGAAAATGTGCAGACCTAAGACGAATTTTCCAGAATCTTTAGGCACCAAATCGTGAGATAAAGCCAAAACCAAGAAGAACGCGGCAAAATCCACCAAAAACAGAAGCGAAATCGAAGCAGATATCGATAAACCCCTCATCGGCAACCGCAAAATCACAGCTACCTCATTAGAAGAAATCAGTAAGCGAAGAACAGAGAAGAGCAGTACCAGTCCGATCAACGATCTTCAGAGCGATGTAATGGAGATTAATAGAACTCTGAAGAGGAACTCACATGAAAGTGTGGTGGGGACAGTGAATTAGTGATCATGAGAAACGAAAAAAAAGCTGGCTTTACATTAAATTAGTTAAACAAAATCAGGCAGAGCCTTAATTTTCAATTAATCAATTAATCAATCAATTAATTAATTAATTAATTGCGTTAAAATCAGTAATTAAGTAAAAAAAAGCATGGCCAAATCCCTAAATATTTATTTTCTTATATTATTCCATTTTGTCCTATACTACTTTTCCTTCATTCTTTTTCACACCCTTGTACACGTGTCATCATTATATTTGTTGAAATTACCAATTTGCCCTCAAAATTAAAGCACCGTAAAGTTATATAATAATAGATACTGTCCCCTCTGAGTCTAAGCTCTCGTAGCTCCCTCTCAGTCAACAAATAATTTTTAATTAAATAATAAATTCAACAAATATTTGGATTAATTTTTTTATTTTATTAAAAATAAAATATTAATATATAATTATTTATTTATTTATTTTCGTAGATTTAATGGAAGATTTACCTTTTAATTTCCATATATATTTTATAACATTATATTTTAAATATTAATAAATTTATTTTTAAGAGATGACGTATAATAAATAAACAATAAAATAATTATAAAATATATATTATATCATAAGCAAAAATAATAATTTAAATTATTATTTGGTCCAATTAATTTTAAAAAAAAATTCATAAACTATCCAAATTTTATGAACCGTTCGATTTGATCGTAATAAAACATCTAAAACAGTGTACGGTGAGATATGATCGGCTGCAACGCGATCTATGTAAACGACAATACACCCTTCTACTAACCGAGATCCCGCCAAATTAGATGGATCAGATTTTCACCATGTGGGGCCCACTGGAAAACAAATCATTCAATTTGGACATGATCAGAAGGCAATGATCCAGTGTATTATTACCTATGATATCATAATGTTTTCAGTGGGCCCCACCGATAATGGATCCAAAGTAGAACTAAAAATTTAATAAAAAAAAAAAACTAAAATTTCAAATTTTAATTTTCATACTAATTTGGTATTTATTTAAAATATTAAATAATATAATTTCTATATATAACTAAACTAAAAATAAATAAATTGAATTGGGTGACTCATAATATTTAAATTAAATTAAATTATTTTTTAAATGGATTTAAAAATGAAATAATTTTATCATTTTAAATTTAATTTTGGTACAAATCTCTATCTTGACCTAATTTTTAACAAATTATCACAAACTAAATTTATTTAAAATAAATATTATTATTTTAGGATGAATAAATAATTATTATAAAAACAAATAAATGAAAGGAGAAAGGGAGTGGTTAGATACAATCTTAGGGTTGATGGAATAATTGAAGGGGAAGGTCACGCCATCATATAATATAAAATAAAACCATATATTATAATATAATATGATGCATTATATTATATGTTGGGAGCCTTTGGTGAGAAAAATCATCATTTTATAAGACATTATGAAACTACACATTATTGGGCATTATTACATTTTTTTTACAATTGATTATATCAGATTGGTGGGTTAAAACTTCGACTTACGGGTATATAATTACATCTTACGTTTTTTATTTTACAAAATTTATAATGAACTATTTGTTATGATCAAATCATTAATTAAGTCCCTCCCGGACCTGTAAGGATGTGGGGATTATTGTTAAAATCTCGAAATTATGTTGTTCAGCTCCTTGTTCGATCGTGATTTCCGGTATGTTTCTTAAATTAGCTATAATTGTCATTCTCACTCGTGAAAACCCACTTATATAGAATGAGTCCTCCCATGCTGGACTTTATAACTCACTAAAGATTGAAATCGAGTAGTACATGATCATCTTATAAAATATTTTTTTAATTAACAAGTTTATAAAAATATATTATACATCAACTCACATATTTCCATAGGAATAATTTGAATCAAATCAATAGTAACAATTACAGAGTGGGTCGTATAAATAGTTTATGAAGACATGACATATAGCGTTATCCATATGTCATAGACATTTTAGGTTTTTTTAACATGATTATCTCGTACCACAACTGTTGGATGAAAGTCTCACATCTGCTAATTTCGGGAATAATCATGGGTTTATAATCAAAGAATACTATCTCCATTGGTTTGAAGTCTTTTGGAGAAGCCCAAAGCAAAACCACGAGAGTTTATGCACCATTGTAGAGAGTCATGTTCGTCTAACACGAACAACGTAATAATCAAGATTACACCGACTTCCGCCAGTGGAATTTTTTGGTATGTGTGTAAATTAAGAATTTTTTTCCCCAATTTCTTGTTTTAGGGGTTATGATTTGTACTTCTAAAAATGGGTCCAAGAAAAAACTTTATAAATTTGCAAAAGAGTCCCTGAAAAAGAGGCAATTTGTGTTAATGTGTGGGGCCAAATCATTATTTTCCCAAACTTTATGGCCATAGAGCAAATTTGTCATTAAAAGGGGAGGAAATAGAAAAGCAAAACCTAAAAAGGTTAGCCCTATTCCACTTTTGTGTTTTGGTATTTTTTTTTATTTTTAATTTATTTTAATTAGTTTGGTTGTAAAATATAATCTAATTTGTGGAGTTGGTTACCTAAATTTTATTAGGTAATAATAATAAATATAATATGCTTTTAACTTTATAATTAAAAATAAGTGATTAAAATATTGTCAATTTGATTGATTTATTTATTAATATATTAACTATAAAAATATTTATATAGCTCAAAATGGTTACACGTGCTCCACTCCACTCACGTGTGGACATTTTCCACCACCATTTTTTTAATGGGCCCAGTATAATGTTATTAGGGCTCAGAGGAAAATGGGCCCATTGTAAGATTCTAGTGGAAAATGGGCCCATAGCAAGATTCTTGGTTCACAAAGCTTATCATCATGGGCCTACTTTTGGGCCCAGTTGTCGCTGTATAAGAATGCAGCTTCCTCTGGTTTGCCAGCTCTTTTTATTTTAAAATTAGCGACGAAAATAATTGGTTGTAAAAAATATTTTATGAATTAAATTGTTTAAATAAAATTCTCTGTTTCAACAGCTTCCAATTTCCACATCTTGAAAACAAATAATGTCATTGTCACGTTACCGTGTTGGTGCAATCATCCTTCGGCCTTAAACCCTTCGGGCTTAAACCCGACATGAAAGAAATTGTAGATAGAAAAATAGACGATCATAAATTTAAGAAGAGTCATGCTTGAGGTGCGGGCTTCATTATGGGAGCCTCGTGCGTGCCTCAACAGACTTTTTGGAATACTGATACCTATAACTTTAGAAGAGAAACGACATCAACTTCTATATACTTGGGATTGATCGAGCTTCCTAATCCTTGTCGATCTTCTAAGTCGACTATCAAGCACAGTACCTTCAAAAGGGATCCTCTTGAATACCTTGTTGCTCTCTTCTAGAGTAGCGTGTAATACTCTTCCCAACAATACCAATGGCCTAAGAGGGTCTTTCAAAACTTGCTAGCATTCTCTTTCCTTTGCTCTAAGGGAATCTGTCCATTAATACCATTCACGGAAGTTGCAAAACCCGTGTTAGAAGCACGTGACCCACCACCTCCATAACGATATGACATTAAAGATAACATGCCAAGTATATACCACTCAACACAACGTATGTTCTATAGTAATTTTAGCATTTCCAAAACTAAAAGTAGAACCAAAGTGAAGTTCTAAGCTAACCACATTTCCAAAGTTCCCTCAAGACATACAATGGCCGAGTTCGATAAAGAACCGGCACAAGCTTAGAGTGTCCGATACTGTGACGGGCAACAACGAACACGAACCATCGACTAACGAAAACATCAAACACAGATCACAACAGACCAACAGCCAATTTTCAAACATAATCAAACCAAATCTCTGTGTAAATTAACTACGCAACTGATAGGCTATGGTTTTATGAACACTAATTCATAGCTCTTCTTGGTATTGCTGTTCATCTGAGAGGCCATTTCAGATCTTAAAGCGTTCTAATGGTTCTACTTATTCTTGATGGCAATGCCAAGTTCACCAGCAACAATCAAAGTGGTAGCCATCCCAAGAAACATCCCATGTTCAACAACACCAGCAAGACGCAAAATCTCATCACTCGCAGCATTCAAATCCCCAATATCTTTCTTCAAAAACAAGTCCACAATGTAATTGCCATTATCAGTAACAAAGGGTTCTCCACTTTCATCCTTGATTCTCAGCTTAGCAACGCAACCAGATTCTTCAAACATCTTCTGCAGCCTCACGGCGGTGAAATTCCAGCAAAAAGGCACAATCTCCACCGGCAGAGCAAGCCCACTTCCGCCCAAATACTTAACCAATTTCGACTCATCAACAATCACCACGAACTTCTTACAAGCCCCCTCCACCATTTTCTCCCTCAAAAGAGAACCTCCTCGGCCCTTCACCAGATTCAGATGCGGATCAACCTCATCGGCGCCGTCAATCGCGAGATCAAGAATCGGGTGCGAATCTAGGTCTGAGAGAGGGATTCCCAACGCGACGGCTTGTTCGTGAGTTTTCTTCGAAGTAGGGATTCCTATAATGTTCTTGAGCCTCCCTTGACGCAAGAGCTCGCCGATTCGATCAACGGCGTGCTTGGCGGTGGAGCCAGTGCCAAGGCCAAGAACCATGCCGGATTCGACATATTCAACGGCCTTATACGCAGCAATCTTCTTCAGTTCATCTTGAGTCAGAATCCTCAACGATAATGGCGTAGAAGAAGGCATCAGAATGCCGATTCGCAAGCCGCCTTTCTAGGATGCAGCAAATCGGCAGTAATAAGGAATCGCCATAGCCCGAAAAATCAAAAAACCTTCAAAAACAATTCGAAAAAAGTAGAGGTGAATTACGTAAAAGAAGGATGAATTACGCAAAAGTGAAACAAACGGAGGAAGAAGGAGAAGATTAATCGAGGACGGAAGTGATTTTGCGTTTGATTCAGGGGAGAAACGTGGAAGAATTGGATCCATTTAATAGGGGAAAGGAGGAGGAACCAGCGGCGTGGTTGCTTTGCCCTAACA